TACATTCTGATCAAGAAAGCTGTGTATCTTCATTTAACTGCAAATTAAGTTTGGCTTATCAAGCTAATCAATACCATAGACTAGTAATACACTCGTAAACAAGAATCATCTTTATGCTATAAATGTATTTGTAAAGACTTTATGTTTTCAATATTTATACGCCGTGACTAATTTCTATTTTAGAACTCGAACAATCGCGCAGTTTACAATGGTAGAGTCATTGGGTCTTGACCTTAACCGCTCGACCGGAACGGAACTGTACAGCAGGACTCACAGCACTATGGTAACAATTGTAAACTTTTCTGTATTAGTTGGTATGGATGTACTAACTGCAATAATTCTGTCAATCCTTGGTTTCAAAAAGGACTTTTCACCACACTATGATGTTTTTAGCTATTTTACATACGTTAATTGGTGGCTGAAAGTTACGTTTTGCTGACCATGCTAATTATCATCGTCATTTGGGGACCGAGCAGGTTTTTACATCCCTAGGGCAAAATCAGCTGCCCGCTTACTTTCTTAAAACATAAATATACATACTAAATACACAATCGGTAACCATAGCATTGCAAAAGAATTGTTTTATTGTCACCGCTGCCCACCGCTGCCTAGCAACTATTTATTATCATTTGTGCCGATTCCTCAAATTATTTCTTCACATAACCTTAAAGTTGTAGTTGTGTTGACTATCAGTGTCCATTATTATTGTCGTGAATAGTGGTAATAGGGTATAGTGTGGTGGAAAATAGCGTTCTACCACGGACTGAGTTGGTTTTGCAGCTCTCGATCATTTTAAGTTCGTGACTTCGTTTCGAGCTTAAAAACTATCTCGAGTCAGAAAAACCTAATTTTCTGCTCTAGGTACAAAATATACTATTACAGCTTTGAAAATACAGGGTGAGTTTCTACTGACCGTGTTAACTTCGCCAGTGGGTTCTACTCACTAAAAGGAACAAAAAAGTTCCTATAAACCCATGTCCGATTTTCGACCGTTTGGCTGTTTTGGGGGATTTTGTGTTTTTCTTATTTTATTAGACTTTGCTCCACAATTTATGTAATAAAAACTTAACCAATTACTTTAGAGAGTTATAGTTAAAATCATTGGAAAGAACATTAAATTTGCTATAAATCAAAGGTTTCATTCAACAATTATACCATTACATAGTCCACGTTATAACCAAAATAAAGTAAAAATGTCATTAAATTAATTAATTACGATCATTTTCATGGACCTCCTTTGATACATAAACCTGCATTTATGCAATGTTGATCGGACATGGGTTTATAGGAACTTTTTTGTTCCTTTTAGTGAGTAGAACCCACTGGCGAAGTTAACACGGTCAGTAGAAACTCACCCTGTATATCAGTAAGTAAATAAAGAAGAAGGAAAATATATGTCATTTATCTAAAGTGCTTCTTTTTGGAAATATTAGCCTAATGCTAGATACTGATCATGCGATGCTTACTCATTAATATTGTAACTATAACAATGACAATTCAACATCCAACTACACTTACTAATTTTGGTCTAAATTTTGTAATAACCAAATATATTCTCTTAAAAAATTTAATCCTGTCAAATTAGTATAGCTTTGAAGTATATTGAGTACAAAATGAAACCTCTAATTCAATAAATTTTAAATAAATATATACACATATTAAAGCTATATACAATAAAAGGTTTATCATTAACACCCCTTTTCTAGCCGTCTTACTGATTTACTTACAGATTTTCACAATAATTGAGATGTTAGCGTTAAGCTTATGATTCAGTACACCTGCGATTGGTAACGAAATATGTATTTGCTTTTATGGCATCACCTCCCTTGCATTTCAATTATTTCTATAGGTTACTTTCAAAGATCCATCATATGTGCTGAACAACCTTCTTTATAACGGTTTAAATATGAAATGTAGTCTAACGGCTAATCCTTTAACCACAGTCAGATTATAAACTAGAGACGAACCAGATTATGAACATAGATAGGCATACTTTTTCGCAATTTCAACCTGATTGAAGTAGGTAAATCACTCCTCAGTCTTTTTTGTGCGGATCTGAAATAAAACAATTCAATTTGTAAATTAATGGGTTGATTCGTCTAAAACTGTGTTTATAAGCATTATCTTTGAAAAGTAAAATTATATTGCATTATTATTTTTACCTTGGAATTCAGTGTTGAATCCTTTTAAAATGCGCAATTTGTGTACCTGTCCCCTCTTCCAGAATAATTTTGTATAGTGACGGTATTTTTGAAATTACAGTTATATCTAATGATATAAATTTTATTATTTATTAAGTACTTCTAAATTAATATATAAGCATAATTATAAATCTTCTGCCGAACATCATAACTAGATAATTTCCTGTCTTTTCCACCTTTATTAATTTAAATTAGTTGAGATTTTTTCATAAACATAAGTATGTGTCCAAAAGTACGATAGCCATAGACATTTCCTCTCAATTTTCCTCAAAGCTCTGTCTCTTTGGACTTTGCGAGTTTTGAAGTATGTATTTTAAAGTAAATTGTAAATACTGATTAGTCTTCATACGAACAAAAACACTGCTTACAATTTGTTTTGTTTACCGTTCTCAGATGCCATTGAATTTACACTTTCAAACAGCTGATTCTAACATATGAAATTAGACATTGAACGTTTATCCTCTGGAGTACCTTTGATTATTTTATTTTAAGTTTATATCTTTTTAAGCGTAGTACGAGTAAATCTAACAGTATTAAAGTATAAAATCCATATGGTACAAACACTGTAATTATCCTTTGAAGAAACTTTATTTTCAATATTGGGAAATATTTCTTTGGAGAAAGATAAATTCATACATTAAAATCAACTTCTTGATACTAACCAATTTCGTGAAAGCTTGGAGTGTATATTTCACTTAACGTAATACAAGTCACAAAAGCCATGTAATTATATTGGATAGTTTTTATCAAATTCTATTTTGGGGGTTCCTTTTATCTTGATATTGCTATTTCTCATTGAAAAAGTTGTCCAAAGAATCTGTGTATTTGTCAATATGAAGGCGCTTGATTTTCTCCAGATGTCACAAGCAATCCTGCAACAAAATCTTGGAAACATTACCTCACGTTTACTTTTTTATCATATTTTCTGCCATGATTCTTTAATTCAAAACCTTCATATTTTACTATTATATATGCTATAGGTGTGTGGATTGTAAGATAATACACCAGTTATGTGTTATGGATTGTCTAGTAATTAATAATTAAGATTTTTGAGAGCAAGAAATTGTATTATTGAACATCCATCATAAATAAAAAATCTATTCTTTCTTTACTGTCAGAAGTAACCAAATTTATGTTTCTAAAAGCTAGTTTTTTTTCTTGTTGCTTCCCTGAAACACCTGACATCCTAGTGTGGTGGCGATAAAGCTTACAATGAATATGTCGAATTTAAACGAACGAGAAGTTTTTTATCATCAAAATATTACGTTACTTATTAAAAACAAATGTATACTAACTTATAGAATGTTTTAACTTTTCCTTACATTATTTTAATTGTATAACAATATCGTTTTCAAAAATATAATTTGTTTAAAACTATAAGTTAACACTTCTATGATGTACTGTTATTCCATCCATATACGCGTTTTAATGGAATCAGAGAAGTTAGCACCGGTGGGTTTCGATTGGGGGCTGATCAGCCTACCTAATAATAATATTAGTAAAAATAACGACAGGTCTTAGGTTTTAGATGGACTTACATCAAATAAACAACTGAAATCTAAATATAAAAATAACCAGCTGTTATTGCATGTACTTCGCAACGGAAAGAGGACGCGAAACAGAATGGTGTGGTTGTTTAGACATAACCTACTACATGACATAATTATACACCCATAATTAGTTTCACATTTAAAACCTTATTTTACCACTTATTTTGATTTTCTCAAATTTAGATAAAGGGTTCAAATCTTAAAGGCTGAATGTTCTGTGTATAAGTGGCGATGACGAGCGTTTAGAAATATTGTGTTTTTATTTTTTGTTGATGTTGATGTTTATATTTGAAAAGATACGCTTAATTAAATGCGTATTTACTTTTAAGCACCTTCTTATATCTAAGGTTAATATTTCAAAATTAATCTAACAACTTGCCATAGTGTAGCAAATCAATGACTTTGTATTGATGTCACATACAATAGAAATAATTTAGCCTTTATTTAGGTGCTTTTACCTGCAGCGCATTGCAAACATAAAAAACCCGATAAACGAAATTATAAAACACGTTTACTAGACTTAATTCGTGAAACATAACTCTATTTCACTAAGTACATACACATACACCCTATCCGAAAAAGTAAATCGGTCCCTGGTCCAGGTCTTACCACGAGACCTGGACGGTAATAGCACAATGTGAGTGGAGCATACACTGTCTTGTATACAACTGGCTTTCCTCTTTGTATAATAAGTGTATCTTTGATGTACGCAGGTCTGTTTGTTTGGGCTTCTCTGTGTACGATGTAACAGTTTCCAAAAATGCAATTCTCAAGCACTTAGCTTTCTAAAGTGATCTATAGTCAATTTCCCTTACCTACTTGCCTGTCTGTATACATCCCATCCTTTCGTGATTTTCCAAAATCTAGAAAAGTTTCTTTTTGAGGCATGCCACTTAGAGGTATTGATATGGATTGTGGTATACTGTATTTCTATGAATTCATACTGTATGTCTATTTGGTTTACTCGCATGTAATGGTATGCTTTTGAGTTAGAAGAAAAAAACAAATTCTAATGCATTTTTCATCCTTCATCACGCCAAAAAATCAAAACCCCCCTTTCGTTTACAGGTTCGTTTAAACTGGATGACTGGGAAACCCTCCTAGTTTCCTACCAAGACTTCCTTCCTGTGAGTGTATTCCTGATAGCCAGGATGCTCTGATGATCGCTCGTCACCTGAAGGTCTAGGTAGAGTGACCGTGAGTCCCGACCACAGAGGCTATATACGACACTACTCACTGCAGAGTGACATAGTACTGGTGATACTTCATACTACCACCTACCACTAAACCCTACCAACACTACCACACCATCACATCATGGCTTACTCAGCACTGGTGAGTAGCACATACATGTTATGCTTTGAATGTATTGACTGTTCAGTTTATGTCAAGTAATTGAACTTTGACAGTGCAATGTACTACTTCTAATCTAGATTGCTAAAATATGTCGTAAATTATTTAGTTCTTATAACTTGCTGTCTGAAAGTAACTAAGAACAAATTCGTCTTCTAATATTAATTAAATAGTTTATCTATTGGCATTGTACGTGTTATTATTTTTTAGCTAGTAAATGATACGTCTAGTAACACTTAAAAACATACAATTTTACTCTTATAGAGTTAACTCACAAGACGGTAAATATAAAAGATGGTAAGTGGATGGATCACCACTTACCAAATTTTAAACGTATTTACCATCTTGTGAGTAACCGTATTTAACAATATGTTATAAGTGTTATTAGACGTCTTTATTACTTTCCGCAAACTTATATTAGTTACTGCTGTGAACATTCATTAACCAAAACTACTACACATATCGTGCGACAGGTTTGTTTTATTCCATCGTAAAACTTTACTGTTAAATAAATGTTCCTTTGGCCTTTTTCTGAATCTACAATTTTTTATGACTTTCTTTATTTGCAAATGTTTTAAAGCAATAACCAACTGTCAAATGTTTTTGAAAAGGGAACTATTGCAAAACTTTATCGTGAGTAAAAGTGTTGGCAATCTTAAAAAAACAATTTAAAATAGGACGACACATGTATGTTGGTAATTTGTTAATTATATAGTGGGCTCTCGATGAAATGATACAGCTTGTACATAACAAGAATGTCGAATTAATAATAATCTATGATTATTACAATTTCAATTCTCCTGAACATTCTCTGTTGCCCATGAATCAAGCCTTTTAGGCTAAGTATAGTAATAAATACTTTTTAAATTTATATACGTTTTATAATATTATTACAGTATAAATTCGTCGCAAACTACCCCCAATTGGCAAACATGTTACTTTTCACAATTTCTAGAAAATATAAATTCTTGCAGATCGTTTATTTTTAAAGCAATATCATTTTTTTCAGTTAACGTCATAAGGCTGTATAGTGTATACTGCCATAATTATAACGAACAAAAAACGTGTTAGACCATAAGTGTGTATTTTATGAGAAGTAAGGATTACTAGTGTACCTGTTGCTCGAATTCGAGCAATTGCTAAGTATTACAGGCGTTATTTTAAAACTAATAACAGTCATAATTTATGATGAATTTAAAAGATTCGACTCAAAGATTATGGAAATACTCAAGATGTACATAACAGATCGATATAATCAAAATTTCTTGTTAATATCTTATCATTTTTCAAAAGCTGATCTTGTAAAAAACATTAATTCTATTTCTTCTCCTTGGTGGTGTTCTATGACTTTCCTATGTTTCCATAGTTTGCAAATCGGCTCTTTCAATGATTACTAAGAAATGCAGCACAGTGTTAATTCGGTTTTCTTTTTAGTATCCTGTATATCATATTATCCAGGCTCTCTCGATTTTTTCCATTGTAATATCTACGCCCTCCCAAATTCAAATAGTAAATATTTCATTTCAACCAAGTCAGTAGTAGCAAACTGTTAAATTAGCAAACGTATTGACTGTTTACAATTAACATATGTTCTTCTTCTCACTTTTAATTTCTGACAACAGCTGGAGTTTCATAATAATGTTTGTTTTTCCATGTTAATCTTATGGAGAAAAACGAAACTTTAAAGAGCCCCAGGGCCTTACTCTCTAATTATTTCCCTAAAAAGAAGGTTTCCTGCACAACTTCACGTTACGCTCTTTCCAATGACGCCAAAAGTATGTCAATCGGTTCAGTAGTTTCGTAGGAGTAATTGTCACAAAAAACTTGCTTGCGTATTAAATAAGTAATAGATGTTGACAAACTCTAGAGAGAATCTTTTATTGTGATATGAATTTATCTGTTTTGGAATACTGCTAATTCGGGAAATTTTCTATGTTGTACTGTCAACAGCTTTACTTCCAAGAAAAAATCCAAGAAGATATACTTGCTCAAAACTTGTAAAATGAGGGTTATCTTTTGGGGGATTGGGGATCACTAATATTTTTTTTAATTTACTTTGTTGCTTAAGGTAATTAAAGAGTTAGACTGTCAATTTAGAAGGTTGATCACGAGTAAAATCAAACTACTTCAAAGGGGTCGATCTAGACCTACGTTGGTAGCTGTCTTTTTACAATGCAACTGAATTACGATTCAAACAAAAGAAGTAAAGCCCATAGTTTTTTTTTATTCTTAAAATTCCTCTTATCCACACAAAAAAAAAATAGGCTAACCCCCAAAAACTTGTATTGATGAAATATGTAGGGCATGCATATTTAAAATTATGTAGGATCGTCTTCTGTTTGTTGGTGGTTTAAGTGCAGTTGAAGCATTTATTCTGCGATTCTGGACGAATTTTCGTGACATGTAAAGGCTTTTAAAATAATCCATTACAATACCTGTCTTATCAAAAGGTCATTCGAGTATAACGTGCAACTGACGAAAGTGAAGGATTGTTGAGTAAAAGCGTAGTGTAGTGTGTCGTAATGACGTAAGAGCCAAAAAAGGAAATTACCGTATCTTAAATTTAATCAACTAGGTGTTATTTATGGTCAAGTTAAGGTTATTAGTCTATTTAGTTACATTTTAACTTCCGTTATTTCTTTTTCAAGGAATGTATTTAAAATTCAGACATGAAACAACATTCAAACAGCTCGTACTTGAGCATAATTAAAAAAGATAAACTATCCGATGAGTCTTAATTTTAGTTCACCTTAATACAGTAACTGACTTTAAATAAAAGTACTGTAATAAAGAGAATAGGCCTATTCTAAAACTTGTTTGTAAAATTATATCAATAAAACAAAGCAGCTAGTTCGCATTGTTGTATATATTATTCGGCTAGCTATCCTTTGCAATTGCATATTAACTATTTAAAGTATTTATTCAAAACTTTCAAATCTTCATAAAGTGTTTATTTTCAAACAAGATCTTGTTTTAATTCAACCCAGATCATCAAGTTATGTTGAAACATTTCGGTGCAATTATAAAATAGAAGAAACAATTTTGCCTTCTTGTCTCATGAAAATATTATATTTCTATGTCATTTCCAGAGGTCTTAGCAATATACTACGTGATTTTGATATAAAACTGAATTTTTAGTTTACATATTTATAAAAAAAACGTTCTTCTCGTTCATATATTTACAGTTACTGATTACCCCTAATAGAAGATTGTCTTACTCTTTGGTCTTAGTCTGGTGTTACAGTTTATTTCATTATTTTATTAGTTTTTTCTTTCATTTATATGAGGCACGAATTCAAACAAAGCCATGTATGATGATAATTTTTTGCTAGACTATTGTGAAATGGCCTGTTTTTTTTACATGTTTATCACCTGCGAAAATTCATAATTGCATTGTTTACTACGGAAAAAGAATGTTTACTATGCGATAGTAATGTTTACTTTTATTGGATTTATTGACGTAAAAAAACAAAGATTTTGTATTTTTTTTTACTATTTTATTTCGCAACAACCAAAACTTTATAATCAATGTATTAACTTTAAATTGATAACCTAAACAATGCTATGAGTTTTGTACTGTTCCTAACTGTAATTATTAATATCCAATGTATTTTTTTACTAATAAAATATTATCTTTGTGGTGTAGCGAAAAGAAACGTTCAAAAATCGAGGGTAATTGGGTCTATACATATTCTGGACCATTTAAAGTACTCGATAAGTCACTTCAAATATTTAAAAAAAATGCAAATGTAATTACTTACTTTCTACTCTTGTTATGAAATATGATATTAAAATTTTACAGTTGGCATAAATGTAAAACCAAAATAATATTTTTTCACAATAAAATAGCTTGTGCTACAACGTTCCAGTATTTGTTCTGAACATTCTATTTTAGTTTAATTTTTTTTCACCCATACATTTTTTTCTTTAAAAAATTATTCAACAGTAGGTGTTGGCACAAATGGTTTACTGTAGATAAAAATTCACCTATTTTTTACGGAATAGATTTAATATAATTGACTAAATGGAGATATTATTATAAAACGAATTGTTTTGTCGAATCCATAATTCCCACCTAACTCACCCGTTTCGTGTTCCAGGTATACTTAAGCGTCTGTGTAGCAGTGGCTACAGCAGTCACCCCCTTCTTCGAGTCCCCCCACAACGAGAAGGCCGCCCCCTTCTACAAGGTCCCCGTGCAGAGGGACTTCTCATCCCCCTTCCCCGTATACACCGGAAAGTCTCAATCCTACAAGCAATCTTCATACAAGTCCGAGCCTTCGTTTTACAGCTCGGAGCCTTCTTACAAGCCGGAGCCAACTTTCTACAAGCCTCAGCCCTCTTTTTACAAACCAGAGCCCTCTTACTACAAGCCTCAACCTTCCTTTTACAAACCCGAGCAATCCTATTACAAGTCAGAGCCTTCTTACTATAAACCGGAGCCTTCCTACTACAAACCTGAGTCGTACAAGAGTGGATATGCCCAGGGCGCTACTTCCTACCAGACTGTAAGATTGGGCGGCGGAGACTACAAACCTCAATACAAACCTTACTACTAGTCTAGCTTCCCTTCTTATATTTATTCGGTTGTACAGTCATTATTTATTAAATCTCTGTTATTTATTACTGAAACTATCTCTTTCTTGTCCACCCTTATTTCTGTATGAAACCATAAATAGTTTTATTTTTAAACGAAAATAATTACAGTATTTGATTATAATATTGTTGGTAATATTTTGTTCAAGGTAAAGTTCAATGTCACTATTACCAAACATAATCGTACCTTTGACAAAAATCAATTAACTCTATGTCGTATTTGGTAGTGGTAAAGTGTTAAATATGCACAACTTTCGAAATATCAACAAAACTTCATTGTGAAAAAATATTTAAATTTTAGTAAATAATATCACACTACACAATAAAATATCGAACATGGTATAGTTGTATCGTTGTATGCAATTTCAACTAAATGTTTAACTTCATTCATGAAATACATGATTTGATGTTACTGTAATAAGCGACTGACAGATTTTTCAAATTTCAAAACCCATATAACTGTTCATTTTATTATTTATTTTCAATTACTTAAGTAGTTTTTGCAATAAATGGATTGAAAAATATATTTACAAAAATTAAACATAAAAATATAAAATATAAAATACCCCCGCCGCAGCAAACCTGCAGACTAAGCGAATTTCCATTTGACTGATTGGATTTACACTGAAATGTCTACTTAAAAATATAACATTTATTCCCTATTTAAATAGAATTAGTTTAACAAGTACTTAGGTTTGCTGCATCAGGGAGGGTAAAACTGTTCTTTTTTTGTAAAATGTTAATAGTTAGTAAGAAATAAAAATATTTTTCAAATTTGATCAAAATATGTTTATAAACAAGCAAACTACAACAGTTTACTTATTCTCCATAAGAATAACATTGGAATTTTAAATTTACAATTTTTTTGAATTTTCTCCGTAACCATTAGGCGCATAATAACGCTTCAATATACTAAATTATTTGTTTTTTTAAGCTCTACAAAATGGTTTGAAAAGAAATTGCTAAATTTTATGTTTTTTGGGTAAAAAATTAGAAAAACCTATTTTTACCCCATAAAACCCCCCGTAAACCCCCGTTCCCATGGTCCGATCATGCTGGATTGCGAACTCGTTCGAATAAACGTAGGTTTACACGTTTGTACCACATTTCATCTAAATCGGATCATTTTTGCTCGAGTTATCGTGCTAACGGACACACACACATATATATATATATATATATATATATATATATATATATATAAATATATAAATATATATATATATATATATATGAATTTGAACGGATGGTGTTTTTGGCCTCTAGGAACCTCAAAATGAAAAAAAAAATCGGTCCCGCGTCCAGGTCTTACCATGAGTACTACGGTAATAGCTTATTCCCTATATGGGAAATTCGCTAAAACTCATTAGTTCTCAGAGACAAGAACAAATAAGTGACCTGGTCATAGAGTGTACAGTTAAACCTCATCACAATCAAACTTTAAGTTGTTGTATGACCTTTGGGCGTTATATCATATTTTCAATTTGAGCATGATATTCTGTGTTTCGTTGAAGGAGTAACACCGTTACAGCATGCTTTGTCTATATAATTTAAACCTAAAAACCCTTGTCAATATCAATAAAACTGATAACAAGTAAAAAAACAACGTAGAAAACACAAATACAAAAAAATTAATGAATTTTGGAATGGTTAGACTTATTTTTTCCAGCCATAATTTTTGTTTAGTTAATTATTGGTTGTTTTTTAGTATGCTCACTACTTTGTTAGTTTATAGTTTTTGATTAGGTAGACAAATTGTTCTAAAAAAGCAAAGTTTTATCAACCAATTTATCGTACAACATACCGTATTTATGTATATTTCTCGGAAACCCCATTTTATTTTGTAGCTATGAGAAACTCACATCTTTTGTCCAACATTCACTTAACTTTAGAACTTTCACATTATAAATTTAAAATGCAAGACTAGTGACCTTATAACTTCAGACCACTGACCGTCCTTGGATGGAGATCCAATAAATAAGATCACTCTGGCCGTGAATCTGTGTGAGGATTGAATAATTCATAGTCGCGTGGGTAATCTTTGGTAATTGTCAGTTGAAAAAATATGTTATCAGTCTATCACAAACGGGGTATTGACAAGTGCTTCGGAGAAAGAACTGTGTGAGAGTATGGAGAGTACTTGACAACTGGGTAAAAAAAGTTGGGACATTCGTTATTTTTAAACGCAGATATGAACGTGGATATTTAACCACCATATCTAATACATTTGCAGTTTTAAGGACTTTAAAAATTAATTGTCATACTAAATTAAAACAGATGTTAGATGTATATTAAAACATGGAGCTACATAAGTCTTTTTCTTTCCGGGGGGAAAGAGATTCAGCTGGAGTCAACAACAATAGCCGTTAAGTTTTCTCGCATAGGCCCCACAGTGGGGCCTTGCTTCTGCTCATCATGCTAAAAAATACTCCTAATAAACCAGTTTTCAATCGCGTAACAATACATTTTTTTTTTATTATTTTGTCACCAGGTAAATTTCACTCCAAAAATACCCCACTATTATTAACATTCACACCAGTTTCAAATGCACGAAATTCAACGATTTCACTTTTTTTATTGGCGAGTAATACCTTGAATCTAAGTAACGGTAACATCTGGTAAAACAAATAAAACTGTTTACTAAGAAATATTAACAGCACAAAATGTACGAACTAGTTAAGAAAAATATAAAGCCTTGTATATTATTTAATTATGAATGATACACAGATATTTATTTATGGAAAATGTCTTGCTATAATACAAAGATAATAACATACTTTTATCTCTGAACATTTACAACACTATTCATAAAGCTGATCTGAGTTAGAAACTCTTAGGAACCATAAGCTAGCATTAATCAACAGATCATTAACCTATATCACAGAATTAATAATTGCAAAGCAAAATGGTAGTAGTTTTGGAATATAATTTACAGAGGCAAATGTTTACCTTGAATCTAAGTAACGGTAACATCTGTTAAAACAAATAAACCTGTTTACTAAGAAATATTAACAGCACTAAATTATGAGCTAGGTAAGAAAAATATAAAACCTTGTATATTATTTAATTATGAATGATGCACAGATATTTATTTATGGAAAATGTCTTGCCATAATACAAAAATAATAACATACTTTTATCTCTGAACATTTACAATACTATTCATAAAGCTGATCTGAGTTAGAAACTCTTAGGAACCATAAGCTAGCATTAATCAACAGATCATTAACCTATATCACAGAATTAATAATTGCAAAGCAAAATGGAAATAGTTTTATAATATAATTTACAATGGCAAATAATTTGTATTTTTTTTTTGCATTAAAATTACGGTGATTGCAAATCTAGTTCATCAAATTCATCATGCTGGCCGAGAAAGTCTACTTTAACCTTCGCTCAATGGTTAAACCTCGGTTTCACATAGTAGTTAAACGTGAGCTCCTATCGGAACTAGTAGGCCTATAGTTACTTTTGACCCTTGTTATGACACAATATATTATTATAGCAGTTTTATCTGTATACGGGTTTTTATAGATTGCGTGAGCAATGAATTTACTACTTGTAAAACTAATATCCTTTTATTTCTTTTTGACATGCTTTGATTGGTAAATTAACCAATCAAAGCATGTCAAAAAGAAATAAAAGAAATAGGCAAATTTATTAGGTAAATTAACCTAATAAAAAGTGTTTTGAATTCCTGCAATATAACCTAGATTGCATTTGAGATTTAAGTACTGTATACAATCTCATGTGTTTTAAGTAAAATTTGGTGCTGTAAAAATAACTACAACATACATAGTTATTTTATTTGCATATAGTTATTTGTTAAAGTTATTCGTTTTTACCTTCCTTTGTCAATTTCCTTACATATACTTTCCTAGGAAGCTTACAGATAAAATACATTTACGAATTTTATCGTTCGCATTAACATGATAACTATCGTAGTAAAACGTAATAAAATAAATACTTACTATGCAAATATTTTATTACTTTAATACTTCCTTCTGAAATGGCTAATCTTGGAAAGATATACAATTCTAATTGATGGAGGCGTATTTTTCTTTAACTATAACGGTAAAAATCACTTTTTGTGGTAAAATTAATATAATACGCGTAACCCCACAATCGCTGAAGTTTGCTAGAGTGTAAAATTTAATAGTTATTTGTGCAACTAGTGAGAAAAGTGAGCAATTGACTCACTCGAGAGAAATCCTTACTCACGAGCCGTAGGCGAGTGAGGAATGGTTTCTCGAGTGAGGCAATTGTACTTTGAACTCGAGTTGCACATTATACTTTTCCTACAGTTACCATAAAACAAATAAATTGGTGAAGAAACATAACCTATTTTTACACAGAAGTGAACTTTTAATTTAACATTTAATGTGAAGTGACAAATACAACAGTACAACAGCTGACCAGCTGATTTGTGAGCTTGATTGAGTGCTGCCAACGTATTTCGCGCGCATACGACGTTGCCTGCATGTTACGTGCTCACTATTTCGTGCCTTCACGTTGCAAATCTGGAGTGAGACAAAGTAATTAGTGTCTCACTGATGAGCGAATTGGCCACTTTGCTTTCTCAAATCAGTGAGAGAACATGTACATTGTTAGGTAACTGTAGGAAAAAATATTTCTAGCTTCCAGACAACTCATATTTTCCAACTCAAAAATATTTTGATTGTAACAATAAATGTATGGAAGCATACTTGTTAACATAATGATACAATGTAAGCATTTTAAACTAAGGAGAACGAGTGATATTACTCAATTGTTTTGACAAAACAATTTTACGTTATTGTTAAAAATATCGATCGAACAAAAATAATTCAAAAATCTAAACAATGGGAGCCTATTAATGTGTTTGTTAAGGTAAACATAATCATTAAAGTAGCCAACTAGTTATGGTTTATATTTCCAGAATCGATTACAACTAATGGCGCCGGCCTGGTATAATCTGCATACTATCTCGCGTATTCTGGAGACGTTCAAAGTTGTTATTAAACATTACTCAACATCAATCCAGCCTTGGGCCACTTCTCGCTTATGAAACGTCTTGTTTTCATCTCAAAGCTCGATTGTTTTTATTCATCATCAATCTTATATTTTTCAATGACTTTGCTCATAAAAATAGTTTTATTTAACGAATGGAATGTCTTGTACTGTTTAGTTTAGTTTTTAAGAGATTGCTATAGAGACAATTAACTGTGTTTTATCCGAAAACAGTGCGCCAAAAATAATGTAAGATGCTACAATGAAAAAATAGGTTAAGATTGTAATTCATTGACCATCAGCAAGCTTAGGGAACACAATTTTAGGGGGTTAAAAACATTTTCGGAAAATAAGATTCAAATTTTTGAATTTTCTATTCACATTTATCATGTAGAGAAGAATAGACTTATTTGTAATCACATATTGTTGCAGTTTAGATTGTCAACGCCTGTGACGACGAACGCAAGAAACGACAACATCTCTAGTATTGTTAATAACATCACAGCAGCTGTCTCCAACTGCAGCGGTGGACGATTTTTCTATACCGCAAACGAGTGGAAAACCATTTATAAAACTTTAAGCAAGTGTAAACGCAATGCACTTTATGTAATGCATATAGACATTTAACTAACTGGCCTAACTAGAGTCGATAGCAATACAAGTTAAGAGCCCTATTTCTCAAGTTGTTTTAAATAGTGTGTAAATACATTTTTTTTTTACTCACTACTGTACTTATTCATCAACAACTGTGGAATATGTGCATAATTCTCTCACCCATATTAAACCTGTTGATAAGCATCGTGCGAGTTATTAAATAATCTGTAAGTACAAAAATACGTCAAATGACACTTGTAATAATATATATATGCACTTATACTGTTTACTCACAAGACGGTAAAGACTAAAAAAACAGCTATACCCGTGCCTTGCAACGGGGTCAGTATGCGTTGGCATTAAAAATTGTCTCAGTTCTACTATTTAAATTAGAAACGAAAAAAATTATCCGTATTACTTAACTTGATAATAGTATGTTTTTGTAGACTGTGGACATTTATTTAGGCTAAATAGAAGACAAAATAAATTATAGATTTTAAGGTATAATCAAATAACATGTTTACTGGATTGTATTGTAAACGAAAAGCTATCACAATATTTCCAAACCACAATAGTTTAGTGTAATTTTCTAACATATTTTAGTTAAATTATAATCAGGCAAATGGAAATTCATATAATCTGCAGGTTTGCTGGGCAGAGGTTTTATACAGTTTTTTTTAGGTTGTTAACTGTTTACACAAAAATATATCTAAAAAATAATTCTCATAAAACTCAGGTTAAGAGCTTAAGAGCCTAGGTTGATACGGAAATGATTATATAATCTTTATTGTTTCCTAAATCGATGAATAATTTCTTTTCAAATGAATTATTCCCCGTAAAATATTAATACAGCATTTCACAAAAACAAGAACATACTCAGTAGATTATATACATAAACAAATGAAGTAATCAAAAGAATCCTTTACTAATGAAATTACATTTATCCTCGGAGCTGTAGTTTTATTGTTGCCCTATTTTTGCACTCTGTTCAGTAGTTTTTGAGTTTATCTCATACAAACACACACAGAGACAGACAGAAACCACCTCTACTTTATAATAATAGTCTAGCTAGATAGTAAGTGGTGATCGATTTCGATTGGACACTCCAATCATCATCAGACCCAATAGGTGGATGATTTGATTCGCCTTTTTGGGATTTAGATTGTCCAATCGAATAATTACATTTATATCAGAAACACATTTACATAATTTACAATTGAAGTACATTTACCGAAACTACTGATCACCATCCCCAGTTACAATTAAATTTTCCCTAGACTACTGATCACCATTATCAGTTACAAGTACATTTACGGAGACTACTGATCACCATCCCCAGTTAAAATTACATTTTCCCTTGACTAATGATTACCATTCCCAGTTACAAGTGCATTTACTGAGACTACTGATCACCATCTCCAGTTACAAGTATGTCTAGCCAGTACTTGATCACCATGCCCAGTTACAAGGATGTTTAGCCAGTACTTGGTCACCATGCCCAGTTACAAGCATGTCTAGCCAGTATTTGATCACCATCCCCCATTACAAGTATATCTAGCCAGTATTTGATCACTATCCCCAGGTCCAAGCATGTCTAGCCAGTACTTGATCACCATTCCCAGTTACAAGCATGTCTAGCCAGTACTTGATCACCATCCCCAGTTACAAGCATGTCTAGCCAGTACTTGATCACCATTCCCAGTTACAAGCATGTCTAGCCAGTACTTGATCACCATCCCCAGTTACAAGCATGTCTAGCCAGTACTTGATCACCATCCCCAGTTACAAGTATGTCTAGCCAGCACTCGATCACCATCCCCAGGTGTCTAGCCAGTAGCCACCAAGCAGTTGCCAAACTGAGCCTGAACCCCTCATTACTATCACGACCCACATTTGATGATCTCACTCTGCCCTAGGCCTTCTCTTGTATATAAACAGTTCCTGTAGCCAGGGGTGACACAGTGTTCTGCAAACCAACACGACAACATGAACTCTCTGGTGAGTTTACAGAAAATTGTTTTTATTTATTTTATTTCAATAATTAATTTTTGCCAAGGGCCCTCTTTGAGTTTTGAACATTTTTAGGAAAAAAGTTAAATTTAGAGTTCTCCGGTTTCTGCAATTTTCTTGATTATCATTCATTCAATTGGTCCTTCTAAATGTTACCACTTTTAGTCCTGAATGACAACCAACCCAAAGCTGTTAATTGACGATTCCTGTTTGCCTAGTGTACTTATTCTATAGTAAAGTGAATCATTTTACACTCCTGAGGTATTTTGTTCTCTTGACGTGGCTACACTAATGAAGATAGCATATAGGGCTTATAACTGATTCAAAATGTTGCTATTGATCAGATAAAAAATAACAGCTACCATAATTCACTTTTCAGTTGGGGTTAAAGTACAGTGGAACTATAAAACTAAAGATAATTATGATGTTTTTCATGCAAATTCTTTTTCCCTTTTTATGATTAACAAGATTGTAGAATGTATTTAAAATAAAGGAGATACTAACCGAACTACTAAATGTATTTCTTTGATATAGGGCATATAATTTGTTGTTCTGTCTTTGATATACTAAATCCACCACATTAATACTAGGTTTTGAGTGTTTGGTCTGGATGCCTATTGGATATAAACAATTTTTATGTTTTCCACCAAACCTTCTCGGGCTAAAGCCAAAATAACGTGTTTTTCTATCCTCCCACAAAAACAAATCTTTGGAAGAAGAAATTATTGTATGATACCAACATAAACTCATTCCATTATTAACTTTCTTTGTGGATTGAATGCAACCAGCACTTTTAGATATTTTAATTCTTTTATTTTGGAACTATAGCACATAGTACTCATAAAACATGTTTTGTAGGATAAAATAAAAGTTTTTTTTTTAAATAATAATAAAAAAAAAACATAGAACCAGTTATATAATTTCTAATTTTAAGGTGGTGACTGGATTTTATCCCCGGTGGTCTTCACTATTTGTCTACCACATATTTTTTGTAATTGTCTGGGGTCAGTTTAGATGTAAAACATACAGTTCACCTAAACATTAAAAGACACATTATTTTTAATTTCTAGAGTAAACAAGTCAAGAATAACTGTACAATACTATTAAGCATATTAATAAACCATTATGGCGTAAACAGTTAAAAATAATAAATTTAATGCACGAAACCGTTTAATCCTTAAGTGTCCATGTGCCTACACTAGTTAACCTTAATGCAAAGAAAAAGAGGTAAAGATTCCATCAGCGATAATAATTTGCAAGAATTCCCGTCGTTAGTGTCAATTAACAATTAAATCTAACGACAGATTGTCAACCTTGGTGTCAGACCAGTTCACATCTGGAGTCCCAAGTAAGGTGCTTTATGACATTTGTAAAAAGTAGCCTGGTAAATTAAGACAAAAGGTCAACATTTGTGGGAATGTGCTACAAATGACATTGATCTTAGGGCAAGGCAAAATAATTGTCTACACACAATTCAAAGCTGAGGTTGTATTATTTAGAAGTTTTCACATATATTTTGGGAAGTGGACTATTGTTATAAATGTAAAAGAGATAGATAAAAGCACGATGAATGTTTAGTTTTTTTTTTTTTTTTATTTAGTTCACTAAAGATTTCTTTACAACAATTAACTAAGTAGAATAATCTGTTTCGTAACTGTTTCATCTCTACTTGCAGTACTGCAGATTAACAAGTATATCCCACTATAAACTGTAGGTCCCTTAGTTGCCATTAGCTGTATGGGCTATTAATTAACAGCTATGTCTAAGGAATGTCGGCCTAAGTCACTAACAAGACTACAAGATCGCGCCACTCATCCTACACTCATCTTCATTCATACTTGGCTTAAAATACCTACTATGTATGATCGCAATTTCATTGAACAGTAACAGTAACAGTATTACTAAATGTAGCTCAAAGCCTAGAGTAATTAATTGTTGTTTAGTTAATGACAAGTGATTTTCACTGTAATTCTGGATCTTGATTTTTTCTATTCTCCATTGAAAAAACCAAGAGCGTTTTTTTTTATTTATGGCTGTTTTATTCACACTACTCAATTCAATACAACAAAGCTAAATACTATGGACATTTTTTAAGCTTACTAGCTTCTCTCTTCTCTTAGTGCTAGCCTTCCCAAAAGGGCACCGAAATAACATCTCTTTGAGCTCTATAATTAAAAATATAATTAAATTTCCATTATATGAAAGAAGTTGCAGCCAAGTAAGTACGAGCAGGTATATTACGAGTAGATGGTCCTATGTAACCAAAGTCGTGATGGTTAAATCTTCCTCCTGAATAAATATACTTTTAGCATCCCTTGGTTAAAACAGCTTTTGTGAACAACCGAATCAATATACATTAGTAAATAATTGCATCTCAATGTTAGATTGTTTTATAACTATATGACACTGGCACTCTTGTATTTGTATTGGTGAAGATTGGATACATTTTATATTAACCCTGTTTCTGACTAAGATCAGCTGTTCTTCTGAGGATGTATCTTTAACGAAAGTTAAACATTCAGGTCAGCTATACACTTTATGAAAAAAGTGTAATTTTTACGGGCAGATAGTATCATATTTCTTTTGCCGTGGATAAAATTTGTGAGGAAAAACGTTATTGTTAGCTATGAGCAAACAAACCAAATCAATCGGTTGGAAAATAGTGTAACAATAAGAAAGTGCATTTAATAATGCTATCCAATGTCACTAATCAAGTTTACTTTAATATAATATGTACATCTAAGGACCATTAATGGTCAAAGGTATATGATATGTATCTAGGGGGCCTTGAAGGTGCAAAAAGCCCAGTTATGGCAGTGAGTAGGCAATGTTCAGAGTGAAAGTTGTACCTCAAGAATGGAGAGGTTATTGACACCAGTCTCTACAGTAAATGTTAGTTTAATCTATAAACTCTGAAAATGAACAAATACAAAATATCCCCACCGCAGCAAAGCTGCAGACTAAGTGAATTTCCATTTGCCTGATTTGATTTTCAATTAAATCTGTTTCAATAACATTAGGTATAATGATTACCTAGGTTTGCTGCTACAGGGAGACTAATAAAGTGTGTTTTTTGAAGTCATTGTTCTTATGTGCTTAAGAAAACTATTTAGACTCTATCAAGTTAAATGTGTAAGTTTAGTTAAAACATATTATTTTTCCAATAGTAATTTTGGCCTAATTATTACAAACTACAGTTCCATTAACAGCTCATGTGTTTGAATTCCATCGTAATATTTATTACACACACTAGAATCACTAATAAAAGGTTGGTACATAAAGTTAAACAAGTTCGAATTTCTTCTCGAAGTTCGAGTTGGTGGTTTTCGAATTTATGGTTGGCTTTATTACATATTAGTTTCTACGTGTTAAGTTTTCAATATCCTACAAGTTAAGAGTCGAACTGTTAACGTTCATATAATTTCTTTAAAAAATCATGCTTCCTAAGCTGTGGTAGTTTCATATTTTATTACCTCATGAAAATTACAACCTCATTTTATAAGATTTTAACTTATTGAATAGTCCACTGTACACTATAATATATATAGTGATTTGTACACTAATTGAAATCGTATCTCTATTTCATTATTTCATTTTCAGATGAGAATAAGTTATCAATATTATTGCTCTGTCTATCTATACATATCTTGGGGATCAATTCAACATTTTGAAACTTCAGGGCTAGTGATTATATAATCAATTATTAAATTCTTGAAGAATATTTTAGTTAAAATTATAACTGCTCGAAGTCACCTAATCAAATGCATACATAGTATGTCCTTTATGAAATATGCAGGTTTGTGGACTGCACTCAGAATAGTAACTCCAAAATACAAGGAAATCAATCAAATAACTGAAGATAAAATAATTTCAAAAATAGAAAATTTAGATACGTTGAAGGTTATTAAACTACGTCAGTTCAATTAAGGCGGAGGTAAATAGTTAAATATTCTAAGTTTCACAAGCTAATCCAGATTGTTGATTGTACACATTTTCATTTCCCGCGATTCTCAGAAATATTTTCAATAAAGCTCGATTGTACTTTATTAAAGCACGTTGCTAACCTTCCAGAATAATTGTTTAACCCTTTTGTAAGACAATCCTTCCGTTAACTCTTGGTATTAATTCCCTTGGTTCTGTTTATAAATCAACTAAGTTGGAGGTGTATTTAAAAAGTGCAATAATTGAAATCAAGTTTGATTAAACTAATTTTGCAATCATACTTAACAAATTTAAAAGTTTTGTAATATATTTAATTTAATAACATTTTTGGAATATCTTTTACTTATTGTAACCAAAATTTTACTACGCTAAGCAGACTACACAAGAGTCTTAAGGTATTAAATATACTGTACATTATTTTTATTTATTAAGTGTCAAGCCTCAATCTCCTTAACCTTAAAATATGTTCGAGTAATTTTATTGGTGACTGTACATGTACCACATCATGATGTTAACACACATTTGTGAAAACTTTCACTAAATTAATTGTAAATGAAAAGTGCACAACAAACACAGTTTGTGTTAGAGGCATTAACAAGTTTGGCTACAATATATTTAGACCGCCGAAACACACCATCTATATATACATCTTCATAGCACGTGCAACAACACTGTGAAAATCTGCCTCCACCTGGACAACTAACGTGCGACCGGCGATAGACAACGTGATCATAGAAATAACTATGTAATACTAAACTAAATCGTGATATGGCCATTGTTTTAAAAAGTTAATGAAATGTAGCTACATTTGTTAGTATTCTGCTGTTTTTAAACGTTGTAATTTTGTGTTTAGTGTATGTTTGTGTATGTATGTGTTTAGTGTATGTAGCTACATTTGTTAGTATTCTGCTGTTTTTAAACGTTGTAATTTTGTGTTTAGTGTATGTTTTATGATTCGGAAACTGTTGGTAGTAATTATAAAGTGTTATGCACTAAGCCTCTGTATGTATAGTATGTACCATAAGAATAACTTAAACAACAATAAATGCTTATTTTATTGGTATAGCGTAAATTTTCAAGTAGATTGTTGTAAACATGAACCGGCATCATAGTTGTACCAATAACTTGTTCTGATATATACCTGAACCATGTAACATCTAACTCTAAAGTCCCGTTTACACTTTATTAATATGGACTCCACCCATAATATTTTTCTTTTTGGCTTTTCTTACCAAACAAATTTCAAATGATATTTAGCTGAAAGTTATTTCATAAATTCTTAATGCAAATGGTACATTATTAATTACGATTCCATAAAAGTAGGAAACATTGATGAAATACTTTGTTTGGTGATAACATTTATAACTATCAACTAAAATTAACTTTCAGTGGAATTCATCATTGTGGGACAAACTTAATCTATTTGTTTTTAAATTAATTTTTCAAACTGTTTTCAGGCCTTGATCTTCTCCGTGGTCGTGGTGGCAGTCTCCGCCCAGTACCACACTCCCGAGTACCACTCGGCTCCTGCACCATCCTATGGTCATGCCTCTGGTCACGCCCCTTCATACGATCACGGCTCTGGTCACGCTCCTTCTTACGGAAAGGGAGGTGAAGCTACCAGCTTCCAGAGCTTCCACCTTGAGGTCGGCCAACAGGAGTACAAACAGCCTTCCTACGAGAGCCAGAAGCCTTCCTACCATTCCGAGCCTTCTTACAAACCTTCTTACGAGAGCCACAAGCCTGCTTACCATTCCGAGCCTTCTTACAAACCTTCTTACGAGAGCCAGAAGCCTGCTTACCATTCCGAGCCTTCTTACAAACCTTCTTACGAGAGCCAGAAGCCTTCTTACCATTCCGAGCCTTCTTACAAACCATCCTACGAAAGCCACAAGCCCGCCTACCATTCTGAGCCTTCTTACCATCATGCTCCCGCTCCCGCCTACAAACCTTCCTACAGCAAGCCTGCTTACAAGCCTTCTTACTAAGACTTCGATACCTTTCATTGTTATTTATGTCATCGTTCATCGTTTGTAAATAAAATGTAAAGTAATTATTACATATGCGTTTTATTTACCATCCTGAAAAATAAACTTAAGTTGGAGTATGTATACTAGTGTTGAAAATAATCTTCGTTTACTAGTTAGGTACTAGAAAACTAATTTAGTTAATTTCATTACTGATGTGGTACTTCATTTAGATAAAGGTATACAGGATACAGTATTTAGCTAATTTAGACTTCAAAATAAGCAAAGACTTAGTAAATATAGACCATAGCTTGCAGTTCCGCAGATAGAGCGAAGTGGTGGTAGGAGGACACTCCGAAATAGATTAAGTAATAGCACAGTAATAGCTTGGTGACATGAGCGTATTTGCCCAAATAAGGATATTTTATGAGGCTTGGGGCTTGTGACACTATACTTCTACGGATAAATTCAATGTGAGAGGTGTGCGACAAGGCTATATTCTCGGACCGGTCTTTTTTCTATTTATTATTGAAAACCTACACTCCTGCACGAAATGCTCAAAAATATTATTATTGTAAGGCCTGCCTCTCTTCCCATACCAAGCTCTATTTCCTTACAATCTGGAACAAAAGTCTCATTGAAATAAAAAAAACACTAAAAACAATCAACTTGTAAATTATCATTAGGCTAGAATTCCGTTAAAATGGGTTTAAGTCTCCTTCTGGAATAAGTGTAAGTGTATTTTATAAAAGCTCGTCCCACTACGAGTATATTCTTTTAGGATTTGCCTGAGTTAGTTTCTGTGTTTATACAAAACACAACTCTAATAATCAAACAATGGAATTGTGCAACCTACAGACACACTGATAGTCCGAACGTGCTTCAAACTGATTAACATGGATTGATTTATCTCAATTTAGAATACGTGATTCCAATTTGAGGTATGAGGCAAAATTAAACTTAGTTAAAACACCAAAACATAGCTTTGAGAACAAACTTTTGTGATAATTCCCCCCTTATCAACTATGCAAACAACTTTAAAATGTCAACAGCAATAGCAAACACTCAACATTAACAAGTTCATGCTAGAAGAAGTTCAAACCGTTTGAAATTGCTAACAAAGCATGCCAATAACACAATTCCTCACCTATATACAACACGAGAAGCTGAGATTGAGAGTGACAGGAAACATTGACAACAAACTAACCATTGAACAATCTGCAATTCAAAAATTTAATGACAACATTTTACTTCTGTTGGATGCTTTAGTCCTAAGAAATCAACCTGAGGTGAAACTGCATTCCCAAATATCAGTAAACAATGGGTGACATTATGGTAGTGGCACTTTGTCAGAGGAGAGGTTTTCCAAAGTTCTGAACAATCAGTTGAATCATTACTAAATATAACATAATGTCCATATTTGTCCTCATTGATTCCAGCGAGAACATCCTCATTGATTGAGGAACAGCTTAAGAAACTTACCCAGCTCCCAATGTTTGGGAAACTACTAATACTGTCCCATTATATCATTACGTGCCCCCTATTTAAATTTTAATTTAGAATCTATAATTTTTATAACACGCATAATGTTAAAAACCCCCATCATTCGCCACTATTAAATGCAGAGCAATCTTGGTGGCTATCTTCAGAGCTAGTGATATTTAATATTATTTAATATTTTACAATGATAAATTAATGAGGTACTTTGGTATTATACCGACCACAACGATAAATCGACTTTCAAATATGATTTTAATTAGTTTAAATAACAAAATATTCCTTTAATAACCTAACCTAACCTAAACTAGCCTAACGTAAAACATAGTCCACCCTTAGGTTAATAGCCTATAAACTTTTCTTTAAATTAATAAAACATAATTTTCTACCATTAAACAATCTTAGTGTAATACTTATTACCTAGTTCTGTACTACGGAATATGCTGGAAATATAAAACAAACCTACCATTTTAACAAGCCACCGAAGGAAGTTTTTTACTTTCTCCCACTAATATTTAAACACAACTAACATTGCTAGAGATGTGTTAGCAAACAAAACATAGCCATCGATTAGAGCTGCAGCGGAAGGATACGAATTAGAAATAGACCAACTATTCGCAGCGCCGCACGCCTGTAAACGTGACACCACTAGCAGACCAGCGGTCGGGTTGCGTCGCAGCAGACAAGGCGTCGCTATAACACTTGTATTGTTAGAAGAGCTACTTCTAATGCATTGTTGCAAGTCTAGCTATATCTGGACGCGACTGCCAAATTTAGGCTATTGTTTGAACTGTCATTTGATGGTTTATGCAAGGCATCTGTTACGCGATGTTACCGATTCGTAGTATTGTTCTTAACTGTTACTGTTAGACACAGCTATTTTTACCGCTAAATTTTTTAAGTGTGAATGTAGAAAATTACGTACTTATAAGTTTAGTTAAGGAGCTGACATAGTCCACTTTTTATACTAGCTCAATTAGAGAGTGGGGGAGTTTTAAAGTATGCTAAATACATGTTTAGAGTTAGGTTACATTCTTCTATAACTAAGTATTTTAACATTATAATATGTTTAAAGTACAATAAACACTAGTCAGAAATAAACCTTTGTAAAATGTTCACGAGAAGTGTGGATTAGATCAAAATAAATGTATGAGCTTACGCTGGTTGTAAATGTACTTGTTTTTTTGTTAAATGTCCTATAAATAAACGAAAGTCTATTAATATTGTTGCAAACCAACATTTTAGCGAATTTCCCATATAGGGAATAAGCTATTACCGTAGTACTCACGGTAAGACCTGGACCCGGGACCGATTTTTTTTCGTTTTGAGGTCCCTAGAGGTCAAAAACACCATCCGTTCAAATTCATATATATATATATTTATATATATATATATGTGTGTCCGTTAGCGCGATAACTCGAGCAAAAATGATCCGATTTTGATGAAATTTGGTACAGTCGTGTAAACCTACGTTTATTCGAACGAGTTCGCGAACCAGCATGATCGGACCATGGGAACGGGGGTTTATGGGGGCTTTTATGGGGTAAAAATGGGTTTTTCCCATTTTTGACCCAAAAAACATAAAATTTTGCAATTTCTTTCGAAACTATTTTGTAGAGCTTAAAAAAAACAAATAATTTAGTATATTGAAGCGTTATAATGCGCCTAATGGTTACGGAGAAAATTCCAAAAAATTGTAAATTTAAAATTCCCATGTTATTCTTATGGAGAATAAGTAAACTGTTGTAGTTTGCTTGTTTAAAAACATATTTTGCCCAAATAAAATTTTTTTATTTCTTACTAACTATTAACATTTTACATAAAAAAACACTTTTACCCTCCCTGTTGCAGCAAACCTAAGTATGTTTTAAACTGATTCTATTTAAATAGGGAATAAATGTGATATTTTTAAGGAGACATTTTAGTGTAAATCCATTCAGGGAAATGGAAATTCGCTTAGTCTGCAGGTTTGCTGCGGCGGGGGTATTTTTATTAATCATACCACTCCTTGCGAGTCTAAAATTCACTATAATATACTTCACGGGTTCGTATTACAATTCTTTCATAAAATCCTGTATCCATTGCCTTGGGTGATTTGACATGGTTAGAGTTTAACATATCAAGGGATATTTGTTCATTATTCGCTTTTAAATTTAGGGTTTTCAATAATTAAATTCAATAATTGGCCCAGAAATTGTTCTTGTATTAGTAATACCTGTCTTCGTTCAAAGTGTTTACATCGTTTCGTGATTTTTTCCGAATGTTTCCCTCTGTAATCTAATAAATTCTAAAAGAGGACTGCAGGTCATTTTCATGTTAAAAAAATAATGACGAGAAAATTCCATTACAAATACACGTTCGATTATTAATTTTCTATTAGCATTTTTTAAAAGCTTAACTTGTTCATAATTATGATATTGTTTATAATTATGTATCATGTGTTTTCTCATACGTCTCAGTGTTCTGATACCACGCAGCTTGGTTGCTCGTGACAGCGCTCAACTACGAATAAGAGGTTTCCGGTTCGATCCTAGGAAAAAGATTGACATCCTTCGAAATTTAACTTGGGCTGTTATTTGACTAAGCTTCCAACCGATTCTCCTAACTACAGAATCAGACTGCATTCGTCAGAGATATCAAAATCCTCCCACAAAACGCACATATTGTTTTAGTACGACTTAGATACACCCAAGCTGAATTTCTTTTCAACATTTACCATGAATACCAAAGTAGGTTAAGGTAAGATGTGTAAATAGTCATTATTGCATATCCGTGTTTATTCAGTCAGCACAGTTCAGTAGGGGTGGTAGGGTGCGGGAGCCGGTGCGTGGTATACAGGGGCATGGTAGGGAGCCTTGGGGTACTCCTGGTGGGTGACTACGTGGTAGACGTTCTGGTAGGAGGTGGCAGGAGCGTGGTGAGCGTAGGGTGCGGGGGCTGGAACGTAGGGTGCGGGGGCCGGGGCGTAGTGTGCTGGGGCCGGGGCGTAGTGTACGGGGGCCGGGGCGTAGGCGGCGGCGGCAACAGCCAGGAGGGCAGCGAAGATGATCTGAAAAGAATTTGTGTGATAAAAACCAAAGTTCAAAACATTTGGCTTGAAAATACAATAAGTTGGATAATTTAGTTTATGGTTGTTTACTCGAGTGGGTGTGCGATCTTCGCCATTGAGATTATTTACGTTTTTTTTTTTTTTTCAAATTTTGCCCCATAATACCAGCTTATGCCGACCTTTTAAAACACGGAATGCTTAACTGATAATACAAAAAATGATTGAATCTATATCCAGAATCTATCTCGCTCATTATCGACCCCTAAGCACCCCCTAAGCTATCCTTTACAATGATAACAATTATAATAAATGAACAAAATGAACTGGAGTTTGTGATATTTCTGGTGTATGTTTAATATAGTTTTTCTACAAATATTACTTGAGATCTTCCTTATGGTTTTCTTTTTAAATTAAATTTAATTAACTATTCTTACTTTATGAAATAATTTATGGCGCCAGGAATAGTTTTATTTTTGATCCGACAACGTAGTCAAATCAAACTTAATCCAGATATTAGACATATCGTAGACTAAGAAAAGGAAAACAGACAAAAATATTATTCCTAGGATAAACTCGTTATAGACGCGAAGATCAGACAGCAAGCTGTTTTTTTTTTTATTATTGATTAACAATAGCTATCATCGATGGCATCAGATATAGTTTTCCTAAAACGGGAGGTAAGGTAATTGTGTAATGCACAATAAGATATGGTGGATGGGCCTGGTCCTTGAGTCCAAGCCTTCCCATCTAGGTAATTCTTAAACTATTGTATTTGAAAGAGCACTTACGTTGTATTGTAATGAAACTGTAAGTATACGTAAGTTTCTGAATTATAAAAACTAGTAATATCCACTACAGCTTACTAATAAGGGTTAGCTCTGAACGTTAATCGGACCCTAAAATCAATTGCACTAAATGTTTTTAAAACAAACTATCTCATAATCTAAATTACTTAGTTAAATAGTTAAGAAAGTTAAACGCATTTCATACCGATTCGAGAAAGGAAAGCAGAATAGCATTACCTATTACAGGCTCCACCTTTTACCTTTCAATCAGCAACTATGGCTAAAATCAAACTTGAAGGTGATATAACAGAATCTACTCACGGAGGAGATAATAGCATAAATACTAAGATGATCGTGAGAAGAATCAGCTGATTGGTTTTGAGTTACAGCTGACACTGTTCGCAGGACAGACAAGTCTTTATACGGAGAATACACGTTCTACATCCAAACGCTGCGAGATCTATCCTGGTCGTAGTTCTTTGTCCTGGCCTAGATATTCCCAGTTATGAAATACAACTAACACTGACTCAAGTTCTCCTATAACATTTCTCTTGCTACGACGTGAAACAAAGTACAGTGTTCTATTGAGATTGATGTTAAACTTGTACTATAACTGTTTCTTTCTTTTCAATTTAATTCTAACTACATTAAAATAAATTATAGTGTCCCTTTTGATTTAAAAATGCTAATGGTTTTTAAAATATTAAATTTACATCGAAGACAATATATGAGGTACCGATACTCATAAAATAGAGTTTTGACGTACATTAATTTGCATAACAAAAATTTCTTTCCAAACAAGATTGAGCTCCTTCTATTAATGTATAACAAAACTCACAAATCAAATTATTCTGTCAATATCAAAGAATTTTTTGGTAAAAACTTTTTAAACGCAATATAAATAACATTACAACACTACTGTGCATGCTTCTAGAACGTAGTTGATAGATAGATGTTAAGATGTATAACGCATATGTCAACAAAGTCCAATGGATCGCCACTAGTTACTTAGTTGACCATTGTAGTTAGCTGTTGACAGTTAAACCATCGAGTTGACATACTGTTGTAGTTTGTAGTTAGACCTCCTGATGGCTAAAGTAAACTTGTGTTTTGGCGAGCAAGAGGTAGTTCGTAGTTACCTACTTTGACTTTGTTTGTATTTCTCAACACTAATATACAGTAGGATTTACCCTATATTTGCTGTTTTATTGTTGATGAGGGTAAGAGCAATGATGTAAGTAATATTTTGTTAAATCGTCGTATGGTCCAGTTCAGTGAGGGTTTAGTACGTCCATAGTACGTCCATTCGTCAGTCACACACACGTTCAATCTATTATTACTTATTTAATACGCAAGCAGGTTTTTTGTGACAATTACTCCTCCGAAACTACTGAACCGATTGACATGTTTTTGGTGTTATTGGAAAGAACGTAACGTGAAGTTGTGCAGGAAACTGTCTTTTTATGAAAATAATTAGAGAGTGAGACCCTGGGGCCCTTTAAAGTTTCATATTTCTCCATAAGATTAAGATGGGAAACTAAAAATTGTTATGAAACTCCAGCTGTTAACAGAAATTAAAAGTGAGAAGAAGAACATATGTTAATTGTAAACAGTCAATTAGTTTGCTACAGACATTTATTGACTTGGTTGAAATGAAATATTTACTATTTGAATTTGGGTTGGCGTAAATATTACAACGGAAAAAAGCGAGAGAGCCTAGATAAAATGATATAATCTGTTATGTACATCTTGAGTATTTACATAATCTTTGAGTCGAATCTTTTTAAGACATCAGAAATTATGACTGTTATTCGTTTTAAAATAACACCTGTAATACTTAGCAATTGCTCAAATTCGAGCAACAGGGACACTAGTAGTATTTGAATGTCATGAAAATTTTTGGCAGTGTCTACTCAACACAGAATATGTTCCCTTAGCAAAACCCAACAAGAGTGGTATCGCTGATCACCTCCACAATGAAGGAGATTGCCGGGTTCAATCCTATAAACAGATATAAACCGTAATTGAAAAGTATATCCAGAAGTTATTGAATTAAGTTTTGACTATTGAACCTAAAAACTAAACTCTCTGTCAGTTACAAAAAAATACAATAATCAATTTTTTTCGTTATATATTCCAGCAAGGACTTTATTATCAGTTATTATCAGTTTCTTTAACACTTTCAGTTTCAAAACATTGATTTGTAAAAATAATCGGAAAAAGTCCTGCCAAATAAACCGGTGATATAGTTGATTAAGTATCGTTTTTAATAAATCTCTTTACGATGGTCTGTGTTCAAGTAATTCCGAAAACCCGTATATATGATTCAAGTCAATTCTGTCGAACACACATTCTAGACTGAAGGGCAACCGAGTACGTCGCACAGCTGATTCCAATAATGAATGCACTGATCTCTGTATCTCCCAGCGAGACCTTTCAACCTGAAGGTCAAGGAATGGAACGGACTTCGACCTCACATTCACTGATCTATTGTCATCTGGTCAAAGCCACTTACTTGTATATTCACTACAAAAAGCGTGACTGTTCTATTTTGATCATCATTAAAAAAACACACGAACGCATTAGTTTTAAAACATGTTTTAAAATCCACACTTTTTATTTAAAAAAATTATCGCTTGATATTTTTTATTTTTGCTAATTATTGACTTTTAAGATTATGGTTGCTAGGTGACGATAAACATGCAGATACTGCAATGACGACTGATTGAAAGCTATTCAATATAAATTTATTATTATCACGTGTGCACTTATACCGATGAATACTAAATATACTAAATGAACTGACAGCTCATTCACAGGGGCATTGGTTCTCATCTCCAGTCCGGCCGTTCATCAATTTACTTTCCGTCTAACATCCTAGTGACCTCAATTAGTGTTTTGCATCGACAACCGAAAGTGAGAATCCTTTTTCAGGCCGATACCGAATGGAGACCACGTTTAAAGTTCGAGAGATACCACAGTACTCTTAACTTCACATGGTTGTTGCTAGGTTACGATATTAATTATCATAAATGAAGCTACCATTTAATCTATAATTGAAACCTTGTGATATATTATTTAGCTAAGTAAAATAAAATAAACGAACTAATAAACTATTTTACAATACAAATTGAAAGTTGCTTCACCGCATAATGCTTCATGTATAACGGAAATGTTGTGCCGAGGATCTAGCGGGCATAGAGTGTATATAATACCGTTCATCAAATGTGTATATAATACAGCTAAAAATATTCCTAAATGGTGATTAGTATATTTAGAACAAGAGGATTTAAATTAAGTTTTGCAGGCCAGTCTTGTGTAAATATTGTTCCGATTTCGAGACATAGTTGAACCAAAAAAGGTCGAGCATTTGCATAAGGTATTACCATATTAGAATAGATTATTTTCAATACAACTTTGGAATTGCATTGCGTAATTTTCTGAGAGATGAAATTCTGTATCTGTTAACCATAACTAACAGTTAACCATAAATAACAGTAGTACATTCGGTATTGTATTATGAGATAATGGTTGCTGGGCAGCGAAACAATACAGATCAAACCAACTCACATGGTGATACTGTAAATGTTATTTTACTCGTATCATGTACGTTGAAGGTACTACAAATCTGATAAACCCCTTGAATATGGGTATCCTTTTAAACGTTTGTTTATTAAATAAATGTTGAGCTGATAGAGTAACAGAAGTAGTATTTTTAGCCCATGAACGGAAATAGTGATCGACTTGTTTGCGAACCTGTAAGTTACATACTGTTCAAAAACGTGTGTATGGAACATATCATTGAAGGCAACCCAGACACTCTTTACCTACACTTTTTGTTGTACCTAAATTAGTATAACGTTTGCATGGAATAATTTTCAAAACTCCTAACTTTTAGTTATAAAACCTACAAAAACAAGCTCAATCTTCCCGCTTATTTTTCTCCCTCACTCCTTACACCTGGGTACTCACCAGCTTGCACATGTTGAGGTGTTGAAGTTCCAGAGGTCCTGTGTTGTATCCTGTGTCCCCAGTGGCTTATATCTGGAGAGATGGCGGTCAAGGAACAACCTGTAAATTCCCTTCTCGTGACTGTCCACTCACCGTCACCCTGCCGAGCCCTACTGAATAGGTGAGGCCAGGGCTCTAATGGCCAGAAACTAGTGGAGCATTGTTAACGCAGTTTTGAGCGTTTTTCTTCGTTTTTAAATTGATTTACGATTGAACATATTGATAAAACGTTCGCCATCTTGGTTTTAACATTGGCTTTAAACACCACAGTAGACATCCCATCTGGCACCCTCCAGTAGACATAGTTAAACGAGCCATTGAGTGATATAGCCAACAGTAAAAATAATTAATTTTTCTCCTTCGTTTTTGGTATGTGACAAAAAATATGCAACAAAATGCAATGTTATAAGGCTGAGAAAGCGAATTCTTCCCCAACATTAATTATGAGAACTCGCAATGGACTTTCTATGCGGCACTTTTATAAGGCTCCTGCACTGTCTTTCTGGTACCTCCATCTCTAATATGCCTCACGTATATGGTTTACTTATTAGATAAATTACTGTGAGCTTATTATACAAATCAAATCATTTATTGCCGTGAGAAACATACAAGATATAAGTAAAAGAATCGAGCCTTGAGAGTTCATATTAAATACATAGATGTCCCGGTGATGGAGCTTAGTGAGTTTCTTGATCTGCCCTGGCGTCGAGGAGGACATATCTGGACCTCATGTTTTATTGGCTCTTCTTAATGGCTAACTGGTTGTTTAGCGTCTATAAAATGGCCTATTGGCAGTTCTAGGGATATCCTGGTGGATTTTTCAGTTGCAAGTAGCACTCAAGATCTCAAGAGCTGTTTGAGTAACTTCTCCTCCACAACATGTTCGCTACCATATTGTCGTCCCTCATTTTCTGAGATGTGGGAATGACGTTTCACCTCAGGTTGGTTTCTTCGGTTGAAAAAAAAAAACAATTCCATCTACCCAAAAAATCTTGCCACTAAGATTTTTTATTTTGTATGGTTATTTTATTTATCAATGATTCCTGCCACCTGTCACTAAAATTTTCAGCTTGTTTTCACGTTTTGATATTGGATAATGACTTATAATATTGTCATTCTTGGATTTTATTTATGACTACATGAGGTGCCTTTTAGATTGATCCTGTTTATTGTTTGTGTTATTTAAGTATCACATTGTTAGACATTCTTGAAAATATTGGCTTATTTGAACCCTGTTGTGTATTTCTTATTTTACCTTGTAATTAGCTGAATTCACACGATGTCAATTTTACTGGGTCGATTTTAATTATAACATTGACTAACGCTTTAGCATAGGGATAGATATCTATATCTAGTACGCGTACTATAGTCTTCAGTACGTAGAGTGTATTTGTGTAAAGTTTCACGTAAATAAGTCTAGTAATTTAGTGTGATGGCTTGACCGGCACCTTATTTGTATCATAGTGAAAACATTTGGGATAAAGGCAAACTTTAAGACGAGGTCTGGACCACATGAATGCTTCTTAAGTTAATATACTACTAAATTTCTAATGTTCTTTTTTAAGTTCCTAAATCGTATTAAACAATAAAAGTTTCGATCCATTAAAAAATAATATAAGGAATTTGTTGTCCTAGGACGTTAGTAGACACGAGCCCGGAATTGTTTTTCACATTACTTCAGGGATTGCGGCATTATCACTTAGATAAAATCCATTGGTGATTTGGCAAGATTTGAACCCAGGACCCCTGGAACCGGACTCCCGCGCTATAATTACTAGACCAGCTCGCTCCCCCAATTATATTAGGAATACAACTAATAAATTAGTCAATTAAAATGAGTGTTAAATATGAGTGTGTGAAATAGCCATCCACTTTACAATTTATTAATAATATCAGGAATACAACTAATAATTTTTTTAAGTGTTTGGCCCTCTCACAAACTTATATTTAATGCTTTGAATTACGTTCCAAAGTCTTTGAGAACTAAGGTGAGCATTAACTTTCATATTTTTAACTATTTAAGTTTTATCATCAAACTATAAAATTTAATAACTATCTCTAACTTTTATTTAACTGCCAAGAACCAAACATTTCTATAGTATTGTTATGTTTATGTTATATAACATCTAATTACACCTACTCAACCAACTACCTCACTAATTGCCGATCAAATGCACTATCTAAATACATCGAAGGTATCTATAAACAGGCAGGTGAAGGACGAGGAATCTCCATACAAACTGCATGTATTGTTTGGAAAGGCTTCACCAAGGTGGACCTTCTACGTGGCAACTCAGTGTTCAACTGTCAATGTTATTTGATTTTCCACATTTTGTCTGATCGACCTTTTTCCATTTCTTTCCAATTACACATTATTTGTTAGTATTTGTCAGTTAATTCCTGAACTTGTGTATTATATAGTTTAACTAGCTGCTGTAACTGTACCTGCAACGGGGAGAGGAGGCAAGAGAAAATGTGTATTTTTCTTTAAATATGTCCAATAAAATAGCTGCACATTTTCCAGTGGGTTTAGAAACAAATATGGTCTGTAGATTATCTGTAAAATTTGTTATAATTACATTTGTTGTTTGTATTATACAGTTTGTTATGTTACAGAATAGGTAGATAGTTAAAATGTTTCTTTTGTAAAATCGCCTACTAATTTTTCTTAGTGCTCAGGAAGAAAGAAAACAAGATGAATTCCTCAATATTTAAAATAATATTAGGGCTCTATTCCCCTAGTTCACAGGTTTGAGGATATAAATTAAACAACATTCATACTTCCCACAACATTATTGGAGTATTAAAATCATGTTTAATCTGATAATTACTGCTTTTGCCACAAAGGAATAAACTCAACATTCAGACTTCATTTTAGAATTTGATGTAAAATCATTACTAATGTAATGATTATAATACAGTATTTATAAAGTAACCATAACTTAAACGTTCGAAGTCAAACAGCCACTTTAAATATACAAAATAAACATGCCCTCCTATAAAATAAACTATTTTACATTTTGCCCTAACAAGAATGTTAAATATCAAGTAGTGCATATAAATGCAACCTCATTCAAAACCCAGTGTGGAATTTATTTTGCATTTGCTTTGCTTACGTTGCAGCAAGGAGATACTAAACTAGATTGTAGAACAAAGAAGAGTTCAAATGATGCAACTGCGATCTCCGATCACATATCTACTCCAGATCTCTTGCGTAACTTGCACTGGAAGATATCTCGACCAACTCACACGCAAACGATGTCGACGATATGTAGTTCTCATTGCTGTGTTTTGTCGGATGTAACAGTATCCGATCAACAATTAATTATCATACTTAATTATAGCAGGGTGTCTCAATACATTGGTGTTTGACGGTTGTATGAGAAATAGACACTGTCTTAATTAAGTGCGGTTATTTGGTAGGTCATGCAATGAAACATTTTAAATATTGACAACATTGCATAAATCATTATATGTAAAATTACTACGTCTAAATCAATGTTAATAAGGATTGTTGACATTTTTGAGTGGTCATTATTAATTAATTTCAATTTTGATTGTGCCACTAAAGAATATTATAACACCTCAGTCTGGTAGCGTATGGTTTTTATTACTGTTTATAATTTCCTAGCACGCTAGGGTCTATCCCGGAACAGTTTTACTCAATACTTCAGGCTAACCTTGCGGGTCGCAGCATTATCAAAGCTTAAAATCATTGGTGATTGTTAGGATGTGAACCTAGGACCTCGGGACCTAAATCCCCGCATTCTAACTCTAGTCCAGCTCGCTTCTCTAAAGAAATAAAACCAACATTATATTGACAACAAAATATGTGAGCACTTGACAAAAGTACAGTTCATTATTTACATGATTTTCGAAAACCTATTTCATCGTAACATAAAAGCACCAACCTTACTCTACACCAACAAAAAATTCACAATATTCAATTTTATAAATAAAAAATCGCAATCATACGATAATTTCATATACACATATCCTAAGTGCTTTTTCTTGTTGCTCCATCTGTTCATATAAATATTCTGGGTAGCAAAATGGTTATAGACTTCACCTTCAAATCTGGAGGTCACTTGTTCGATTCCAAGAAAAATCTATCATGGACTTAATTTTATCAACGATATATTTATGTTTGGTTTGCATTTAGTAAATACTAGTTCTTCAACAGGACATTGATGTCCAACATCAAAGTCAAAGTACATATAATTGGTCAAAAGGCCCTTAAGCAGTTCTATTTGCGTTACGTACAACGCCTTGACTTGTTATCAACAGTTATTTGAACGATTATTAAAATAGAAATTTGAGTAAGTTCTCACAAAGTTGAGTAAGCATAGCAAACGAACTTCAACCAGGACGTGATTGAGCGATGCGAACGAGCTCATCTTGAAAGTGGACGATAATTTGACATAAAACCACATTAGGACAGGACGACGTCTGTCGGGCCAGCTAGTACACAATAATTCAACTAAGATAGTAAATAAATAAATTTAAATTATTCATTTTAAAATCTATATAAACTAAAAGGAACACTTATTTTAAATTGTTTGGTTTTCTAATTTGCAGAAAACACTAATTACACATTGGTTATACAATAAATAGTATATCATACCAATTCAAAACCGACTTTATTTAGTTTTGTTTCAAATCTGACAAATCTGGCATGTAGGTTTGTTGCAGTTTTGCAGCGTGGTAATTTCGCTTGTTTACAACTGTTTTGTGATGATTGTTGTGACTGGTAATGTCATTAGTATATTTACCCTAGCTATGACGTAGCCAGGGTCTGATTGCCCACGGTTGGTTAGTCAAGCAGATCCGTCTCAAGGTAGGACCTCAGTCTACCAAGATCATTGAGGATTAATTTATTAAACGGCCATTTGTCAGAAACACTTCCCATTTGGACAAACTTAGTAATAACCTCATTCCAGAATATTTACAAATTTAACTTTGGCAACTACTTTAACTTTGCACATTTGAGTTTTTTTAATTACTTAATTTTAAGCTAATGAAACATTTGAGAGTATTTCATGAAAATGTGTTAATACACTAATTCAATAAAGAAAGTA